GACCGCCCAGGAGAGAAACACTGTTGTGTCTTTTTTTTTCTTTATTTTGACACGGAGCGATGTCAGAATAGAAAAAAAAATGTTTTTCCATTTAAAAGGCATTCTTCATTAACTATTGGCTATTTCAATTTGCAATAGCCAATAGTGAACTAGCATTGTGGCCACCTCTGCTGCAGTTCTCCATCAGGTCCATCAGCAGAGGGCGGGTACAATGCTAGTTTACTATTGGCTATTGCAAATTGAAATAGCCAATAGTAATGTAGCAATGCATTTCAATGGGAATGCTGCTCAGTGGCATTCGGCTATTCACTCACTGTGTTCAGCATCTATCAGAATAGACTGAACAGCAGAATAGACTGAACAGCAGTGAAAAGACTGCCGGAGGGTCGGCTCAGCCGATCCAGATGTTGGATCTGCTGAGTCGAACTCCTTCTGCACTTCTGAGCATGTTCAGCCGAAGCCATGTGAAGCAAGCTGATGTACTTCAGGTCGGTCATTCACTCGGCTGCCTACAGCTTAGTGAATAGACCTAATAGTTTCACTGATAAAAACATATTGGTATATCCAACCTCATTCTTAGTACTTAAAACACAAATCCACCATATTAATAATATATACTAATTAATTTAAATGATTAAAACCAAACAATATACTGTAAAATGAATATAGGTTGAATTTTGTAAGAATATATATTTTTTAAAAATATACGTGAAATTATTCAATTAAGTAAGCATGTAGATGCTTCATACAATATTAATAATACAATAGAAATTATTGCTAATACAATTTCTTACAATCAATAATACTGAATCTAAGGCAATTTTTATAATGAGCCTTTTTTTCCCAGTAAAAAAATCAAAGTCTCTTGTTCTTAAGTGTAAGACATGACAGTTATCAATTTCATTATAACACAGTCTGGCCCCATGGCCAATCCTTATTTTGTGTTTGTTGTCTGGGACCCCCACAATTTACAACCTGGGAATGTACAGTATGTGGTAAGGCTCTTAAGAATTTGCTTATTAGAGTTTTTGTCCAGGAATCATGAACTCACATTCACCTCATATACTGGTATAACAGACAGACTAAGGGGTCTATTCACAAAGCTGCCGAAGGATCTGGCCGTAGCTTCGGCCGATCCCTCGGCTAGCTTCGGCACCAGCTTCCAGGATGCCATATGTAAAATAATATGTATAGGCCTTATAGTTTAGTTCCTTTTAGCCCCAATAGTTCTGACAAAGATCACACTGCAATGGAGACCTAGAGCGCAGTTAATGCAGAATCCCTCAGGACTCCAAAAGTCAGCCAGTTAATGCAGAATCCCTCAGGTGTCCAAAAGTTAGCCAGGATTCACAAGGAAACCATCATAGTGATTTGGTCTTAACTGTGTGCTGACCCAAAGTCATGAACCCCAGGTACACCCTGCTCTAGGCACCACAGACCTTGAGCCAGAGGACACCAGAAACAGTCCAGGGGTCAGGATGGTTCTAAACATGGAAGGTCAGGGTACAGGCCAGAGGTCAGGGAGGCAATGGACAAGGGTAACCAGGATATAAAACAGAGGTTTGGACAGACAGCAGACATGAACAAATCAGTATGCTTTGCAGGGACTCTAACTATCTTTTAGAAATGTTGCTTTAACAGTGACAAAAGGTGTCTCTCTGATTGGCTACAGGATGACAGGGAGAGAAGAGATAACACCAGCCACGTATGCATGTATCCACCCTAAGCAGAGCTGCACATGATTAGTTCTATCTTCTGAGCAGATTAGAGTTGGGGCATAGCTGGCTGAGCATGCTTGGTAGACCACCTTGAGACAGCTTGGAGTTAGGGCATTTATCCACTCCTCCAATGCTTACAGAAGGCTGGCTCTGGTCCTGGCCATTTCCTGCAATGAAGCCACTTTTTTTAACCTAATAATGAACTTATTAATGTCCTGGCATGAAGATTAGGGGTAGTGGACATCACATTGTGGTTAAGGTACTGCAATGCTTTTTAGACTTCATTCAGATGATTTATTCTGTCTTTTGGCAGGAATATGAACCAATAGTCTCATCATGGGGATCATCGGGGTCACCCGGGCGCTGTAATTATATGTATTTGCTCTACACAATAGTTATGGTTCTGGCACTACCTAACGATACTCTATGGTTTTAAAGAAATGTCATAGCTGAGAACACCCAGGACAACCCAGGACAACTTGTAGGGACAGGAAAGAGATACCCATTATTTGCATTAGACGTCTAATAACCGCTGCGATCCATGTCTGCAAGTGCTGTGCAGTCAGGATGAAAGGATATCATTTATGCCTTTGATAGAGATATTTTGAATACATTAATTCTGAAAAAATAACTAGATACATTGGGTTTGATTTTCTGAAGGCAAATATTCTGTTCACTTCACCTCATTAAGCTCATTCACATCATTCACTAAGCTAATGGTAAATTCCCTTGCAAAGTGAACAGACTATTTTCCTTTAGTAAATCAGCTGCATAGTGTCTGTTTAAAAAACAATAATAGCTTATGTTGTGACAGAAGGTAAATGGTGTTCTTGATGGAGATACTGTTAACAAATACAATTTGGATTGAAATTAACTGGATAGAATGCCTGGAATTAATAAAAAGTGTGTAAGATCCCCTTCAGAATTCCATCATGCACTAGAATGACAAATAGTGCTTGCCACAGAATTGTGTACCTGTTTGAAACAGATAAATGAATTTGGTGCACACCCGGCCATTTGTGGTACACAGGCACACTGTATCCAGAGTGTCCATAGTGAACCCTCCATCCTCGGTGCAGCTCAGTAACGCTCAGCCTAGTTAGATCACAGGCTCGGCATTACTGAAATGCTGCTTATACAGCCTTGTCGCAATGCCAGAAAACATGATAGGGATGCTATAAAAATATAAAAATACATAAATATATAGTATACAGTGTTAGCGACAATTGCTTGAGATGCATTGTTAGTGCCATGCTGACTCCTAGAGAGGGGATATGTTCTAACATAAACACCTTTGTATTGAGGTGAAGAGCAAATTGAGTAATTTTAAATGTTAACAAAAATGAAATGTTAATAAAAAGTGAGTGTCATGGAATGACTGTCATAGGAATATATAGTTCTGACCAAATGACAGATAGTGGAATGATTTTCTATAGATAAGTGAGTAATATATATCCCCGTTATATATTTTTACATCGGTCTGTTACATAGGATTGTATTGTATTGAGAAAGAAAAAAGGAGAATACGTGCAATTAGACAGTCATTGATGTTTTAAATAATTATTCTTAAAGAGAAATAAACTTAGGGGTCTATTCACATAGCTGCCGAGGGCAGCCGAGTGATTGACCGATCTGAAGTGAAGTGAGCCGAACACTGTTCGGCTATTCACTTCAGGCCGGTACGGCTGATTTCAGCCCTACATCGGCTGAAATCAGCCATACATCGGCTTGCTTTGTGTGGCTTCGGGTCGGCCGAACATCAGCTGAGCCGATGCATATGCGTTCGGCTCGGCTGAGCCGCTCGCCCATGATCGGGAGCTGTATTGTGAATAGCCAGTACAGCACCCCTTCAGTTATACTGAACCGAAGGGGTCCTGGGGCTGAAGCTAGCCGAAGGATCGGCCGAAGCTATGGCCAGATCCTTCGGCAGCTTCGTGAATAGACCCCTATATTATTTACATTTTTGTTGCCACAATTTAGACCTTATTTATTTGCTAAATAGTTGTTAAGTGGCTGGAGATTGTATTGTTGAGCTCAGGTTTGGACTGAGGCTGGTCTGAATCTGAACTTTTCTGGACACAAAAAGAGCTCTTCCCAAAAATGGATAAAGCTTCTTCCATGTCATCAAATCAGCACTGGGTGGAGAATTGTTATATCTAATGCAGCTTGATGTCAACAAAATACCTCTGCTTGGGACCCCTTGCTACTGTTTAAATACATGAATTAAAAAATGAGAAAATTAATTCAAGCTTTAACACATAACTAAAAGGCAAAACGTTTTTTCTAGGGTCTCACAGATACCAAGTACAGTAATCCGTACAAGTACGAGTACGTGTACCGATACTTTTGAGCTCCAAGACTACACTAGAGAAAAATTCAAAAGTTAGGAGGCCGCTGTCATTTGTAAGGAGCACACGGAGCTCCTGGGATTTGAACATCTCTGTTTTAATGTACGATTTTGTTTTTATAAATATAAATAAAGGGATGCACAGATACCAGTTTTGCGAGTACGAGTACTGGTACTTGCCGAGTACTTACGAGTACTGATACATTTTTGTTTATTGTCATGTGACAGTTTTTCTAAAACAATACAGACTAATGATTTCAGGACAGTGGTGGAGTGCCAGAGCTAGAGCCCAGCTGCAACCGCTGCAACCCTGGTAGTTCTCATGAAAATGCCAAGTATCTCCACTGGTACTCGAAAAGTATCTTTGCAACTCTAGTTTTTTCCATTTTCAATAGAGTGGTGAGAGGTTAGAGGCACTGTCAGGTTTTATTGCTGTCTCCATTTTGGAGATGTATCCTATCTACTTGCCCTGATCACCAATGTAACTGGGAATGAATGTGAAGATAAATACAAACTATCAAAACAGTGATATAGAGCAGACCCTACAGACAGGAAGTAAAGGGAATTCTGCCAATTGAGACAGAGATGGAAAAAAATAATATAACAGTGGTTGTAACCCATCCCTACATTTTCCAAAATAAAAAAAGACTCATCTCTTCAGTGAAGCCTATCCCACCTCAACCTAACCACTGAACCATCACATTAAAATTGTTATATTAATTATTACATTTTATTTATAGTTTTTGTTTGACTTTATAACAAAATAAACATAGGATTGTCTTTGTTCATCAAATTAAAGATGAACTAATAACCTGACTGAATAAGTCAGTTATTAACTTAGATTTCCCCAATCTTTGTATATGAGTTAGAACTGATTTTTGAACATTCACTCATCACTTATTGAACATGAATATTATGCTGTTAATTATTAATAGTAAAAAGTGCGAGACCAAATTTAGTGGACCTATGTGTAGTGGCCTCCAATTCCTCCCCCAGCACCATTGACAACCCAGACACTTACCTGTCTTTGCTCTACAGAGATCTTCCTCAATGGCACAGCCTCTTCTGGAAAGCTTCCATTGCTGAGTCCAGCTTCTCCCACCAAGACTTACCCCAATCTCTGATCATTCCAGTGAAAAGTTGGTATTTAGCTCATTTCAGTGGAGCAGGGACAGGTCAGTGTCTTGTCAGTGGTGTGGAGGAGACCATCCAAGACCAATAATTGTAAGTCTATTTTACAATGTACCCTCATCTAACAGACTTTTTTTGCCTTTACAGTTTTTACGAACAATTCCCTATAAATGTTTTGGCTTTTCTTTATGCTATTCGCCACATTAACCAAAATCCAGAAATTTTGCCCAATATTACTCTGGGATCTCAGGTCCTTGATTCATGTTTACATCCTAGTCTGGCTGTAAGGAATGTTCTAAGCATTTTATCTGGACCACAGAAGACAGTCCCTAATTACTCATGTTCTGGAGAACGTCAACTTGTGGGATTTATTGGAGATCAGTATTCAGTGACAACAATTCCAATGGCACAAATACTTGGAATCCTTGGATACACACAGGTAGGTTCTATGACTTGTATCTTTGCCATCAAGACCACCCTGTGAAAAATACTAAAGTTAAGCCACAATGAAAAACATGCATTTTATGACTACACTGTAATTATCCTGAGGAGTAACTGTTTTGTGCATGGAACTCCTCCTTGACCCCCTATATTATTGTTAGAATTTAAAGGATGATGGCATCTTTAGTACTTTCTCCTTAATTAACTTCCTATCCCCCTGCAACCCACCTGGAAAAATATTTCCTCCCAATTCACATAATCTTCACTGCAAGAACCTGCTCAGAACTGTACAACCTTCACAAGCAAAACATGCTGGCCAGTGTTTCTTCTATTTTTATTATAGAAGTTGGGATTTTGGGTGGGTGAACTTGCTAATCTTAGCAAATCCATAGTAGGGAGAATATTAACACTTAAACCGCTATTACTGCTGAAAATAATATATACAATACACTACTTTCCATCTCTGCTCATTACACTACCTACTAAATTCATTACTATACATCCTGCACAGAGGAAGAGCCAGCTGTCAATCATACAGTAGGGTGGATCTTGACAGCATTGTCAGGATCCATCTCAGCTGTGGAGCTGCCCTGAATCTCAGCATATCAGCTATATTCTGAGTTTTGGGTCACTGGAGGACACAGTTTATATCCTCCTGTGACCCTGAGGAGAGCTATGGGCAAGAAAGGTTCCCCTATAGTTCTCATGTTACCTACTAACTGAAATAATAGGCAGCCAATGCACTCCAACACCTTAAATGGCTTTATTAAACTCCAAATTAACAAATTACTCAATAAGAGTTAGAAGCGTAATGGCACACATTCAATTCACAACTTGCATTGCTACCTTTGTGTGTATGACCCGGCTTGTTCTGACTCTCGTTCTTCCCCGCTACTGATTCAGTACCATTTAATTTCTGGTCTACATGTGTGTGACCCGGCTTGTCTAGACTACACATTGCCTTACCCTACTGAGCTTCCAGACCCATCGTTGCAACTCAGCTGTCCTGACCTGCTTCTGCTACATCTGCAGTGGTGCATTACAAGTACCCTTCAGCCTGCTCTGCTTACGGCCCTGTTTATGATATGTGCTTTTGTTTATTGAACTCTCTGCACAATTAGCACCTCTGAGCTGTTTTTACCTGTTATCTGCTCCCGGCCTGACACTCTTGCCAGTTTGCAGGAATTTGGTGAGATCAGTGGAGAATGAGAGCACATCAACAGTGCTGGTTAATCATACTAACTTCTCTGTGTCTGAAGGCACAGATTATGATTATTATACAGGATTTATATAGCCAACAGTTTGCGCATCGCTTTACAATATAAGGAAGACATTACAGTTACAATACAATACAAGATGGTAAGGAGGGCCCTGCCCCTGAGGGCTTACAATCTGAAAGAGGAGGGGGAAATGATACATAAGGAGGGAGCTGTGTGGGAATGAATTATGTGAGAATGTGATGGTTCAGTGGTTAGGTTGAGGTGGGATAGGCTTCCTTGAAGAGGTGAGTCTTTAGGGAACGCCTAAAGGCAGTCAAGGTGGGAGATAGACGGACAGGTTGGGGTAAAGAGTTCCAGAGGATGGGAGAGACTCTAGAGAAGTCCTGGAGGCGAGTATGGGAGGAGTGGACAAGGAGCTGGAAAGCAGGAGGTCAATGGATGAGCGGATTGTAAGGCTTTGTAAGGCTTTGTTTTTTTTGCAGATAAGGCTTTGTAAGTTGGTCATTCATTTCCCCTATTGGTGTGTTCCTCTGCCTTGCCTGTGCAATATGCAGCTCTTCCACCCTTTTACCATGCAAGACTTTCTTGTAAATGCAATCCTCCTCTACCACCTCCATGTCAAGCACAGTTGCCTCTTTCTTTTGACCCCCCTGCCATATTTTGTCAGGTCTATAACTCAGTTTTTTATTTCTACTGTATGTGAATGTGAATAGTGTTAGGCAATTTTTGTGCACACTAATTTTGCTTGGCAGCATGCTGTAAACAAAAGGCAGCTACAAGAACAATTTCTCAGCAAAAATTGAATGCTGTGATTTTCTCACTCCAAACACAAAATTGAAACTATGATATCCCAAAAGAATAAAACCCCCCGTAAAATACCACCTTCTGGCGCGAAGTCGTTGATGGCAGACTGCTTCTGAGACAGCTCCGCAGCTCACCCAGGCAAACCTCGATATAACCTGGAACAGAACGCAGACTGCTAACTGAAACTACCGTACCGTGAATCGTTATCCATACCGGGACGGATTATGGCTAACTCAAACTCTCGGAACAACCAAAAGAACCAGAAAACCAAAAGTAAACCCATCGCTGAGGCACTAGCGAGGGCCTCAGCTAAAATGGCGCCCACTCCTCGGTCACAAAATCTAGCATCGGCATCCAGCAGTGACACGAAGGGAGACAACTCTGACGGGGACAGATTGCAAAACTGGTCCAATTCAGCACTTCTACAACGGTTAGACACCATGCTACAAAAAACACTCCACAACACCTCGAAGCAGATCATGGACCGTCTCCTCAAAGAGATTCGTGAAATAGGCCATCGCACCGCAGCCTTGTAAGATAAATGCAACAAATTCACCTCAGGGATCACGTCCCTCACTGGCGACATGGATGCCCTGCGCACTGAGAACACCCAGCTTCTTACAAAGCTAGAAGACATGGAGAATAGATCTCGTTGGTCGAATCTACGAATCCGGGGGATCCCGGAACACGTATTGGACCTCTTCTCCACAACCACGGCCCTCTTTCAAGAACTGGCCCCTGACATCCCGTCGAGCACCTAGAAATAGAGCAGGTTCACAGAACGCTAAACCGCAAGCGGGTTGACGGCCCTCCAAGAAATGTACTAGTGAAGCTCCACTTCTATCGCTCCAAAGAGGCCCTACTGACTTTCAGGGGTATGAATACCAGCTTTTCACGGATCTGGCCCCCTCCACCATTACTAAACGCAGAAGCCTTCGTCCTTACCTCGACATCCTAACTAAGCATCAGATTACCTACAAATGGGGTTTCCCATTCCGCCTTCTCTTCTCCTATGGAGGTAGGCACCATGTTTGCACTACTCCGGAAGACACCCAGACCAAGCTGGCATCAGTAGGCCTAATGGATGCTAGCCCCTCCATTCCAATGACTATCAAACCCTCCTCATCATCCTCCAAAAGATCCAGAAGTGACTCTGATCCCAATAATTCCGGAGATTCCCAGGGCCATGCACACAAAATGGTTCCCAAGCCGGGAACCCCATGTTGATATGTCCCCCTTGACCATCTGGTTCTCCGCGGTTCTACCTAGTTCTTGTCACTTCTATTCAGGTTGCCGAGTTTCACCACGAGCAATGCCGAGATGTCTTCAACCAGGGTCGCTGACCCACATCTGAGGTACCCACATGTCCACTGAATTGAATCTGGATGAGATTTTACATACATAATCCAAGACCTAGACTAGCGCCTGAACGCTATAACAATACCTGAAAAGCCTGTTACAGAACTGCAATCTTTTTGCCCCGTATACCAGTCTCCACAGGATCTGAAAACTGCAGGACTATGTCTCACACACAGGCCACTATATCCTTTAAGCTTATAAATTGTTTATTGCACCGAATATACCATGCTAATTGAGAGTTTTTCCCACGTGAGAGGCCTGACGTGCCAGCCCAGCAGAAGTAGCTCCCTTATTGTTGATTTTATATCTAGCTGGCTCGCTAGTTCTCTTCTGCGGGGGATTATCAGAGGGATATCTTAATGTTTGGAACTTCTCCAGGGCCACACTCCAGTAAGGATCACAGCCCGCCTCAAGGCCTTTGTGTTTACCTCTTCTGCCCTTAGATGCTACCCCCCTAATGTAGTGGGAACCCTGGAGACATCCTGAATCGGTTTCGGTTCTTAACTTTACGGTTATAGTTATGTTATTTACGGTTCTTTAATTACGGTTTGCCTGGGGGAGCAGTTCACAGCTCACCCCACTCCATGGATAGTTTGGGTCCCCTTAGACCCCCTTGTCCAAGGACTATGGCACGAGGTGGATGCCATCCTCCTTTTGCTGAGATTCTCGATATCTGTCTTATAATTTTTTTTTTCGTTGTGTCTCCCTCCCTCCCCCTCTCTCCCTCCCGCCTCTCTGCCCTGACCTGTGTGTGGAGGCGATCGTACCCTTGGTTACCACATCTGACCGAGCAACTGGGTAAGTGTTTAATCAGCCTCAATTCCTATTACACATATGGCAATTAATCTCTTGAGCCTTAATGTTCAGGGGCTAAATTCACCTAATAAAAGAACACAAGCTTTTAGGTTCTTTGGCTCCTCCCACGCACAAATAATATTCCTCCAAGAAACACACTTCTCCAAAACCTCCTACCCCAAATATTTTAGCTCCCAATTCCCCACTGTCTATATGGCTAATGACTCTAACAAACGCAAAGGGGTCTTAATAGGTTTTCGCCGCTCTGTGAACTTTGTTTGTCACTCGGAAACAAAAGACCTGCATGGGCGGTATCTGATCCTCACAGGCCTATTGGATGAGGGGGAAGTAACCCTGGTTTTTTACTACGCCCCTAATGTAGACCAAATAGACTTTTTCAAAGACCTACTGCACAAAGTCCAATCTATCGCAACATGCAATGTCATTATGTGTGGAGAATCTAATCTTGTCCTATACCCACATGGAGACAAATCAAACGTTTCTTCAACGTACTCGCAATCAGCCCCCACTCTCAGGGGTCTGCTGGCAACCCACTCGCCAGTAGACTGCTGGAGGGAACTGAATCCAAACAAAATAGATTACACGCACTACTCACACCCACACAAAATCTTCTCCAGAATTGATCACATCTTTACTAGTACATCTCTCATACCCCACACACTCCAATCCCGCCTACTACCGGTCCCTTGGTCTGACCACTCAGCTGTCATCCCTTATCTCTAAACCAAATTTTTCATCCTGGACCTTAAACAGTTCCATCCTATCAGACCCAACCACGAAGGCAATGTTAGCATCCCAA